CATTGACAGAAGTGCCGACGGAGGACATCCATTTAAAAAAAATGGTCAAAGGTTTCAAAGGTCATTAGTATTGAGATCATGCAGCTCCACAAAACCACTGAGTTCTGTAATCATTTGGTGCTGTCATCGCTAATTCGGTACTGTACCGCTTGTACTGGCTTTCGTCCGAATGGGAAAAATTAGCACCAGGGTTGGTCCAGTGCCTTTCATTGAATAGAGTGGCACAGGATGAAGACGAGGATAAAAGCTCATTTCTTGTGCAAAAAGTTTTCGTATGAATAAATAATATCAGAAACATATTTGATATAGAGCATAAGGGGATATACAAATGTAGCTAAACGGAATTTAGTGAGTAGCATTAGGATGAGAGTCGTAGTTGAACTGGAGGGTTCAATATCACCTGTATCCGACTAGTCCTCGCGAATTTCGCCATTCACGCAAGTCGTCTTGCAGCCATCCATTCCGATCCTGCGTATGTCGTCTACATTGTTGGCCATGCATATTTACCATCGGATCAACCGACTTCAAGTTAGGCTGCGGCCCCACCTTACTGGCGCTTGCTTATGATGAAATGGGATCCAATCCGCTTGCTGGAGGTCCATAGATTTTCTTTCAAACGACCGTATCTACTCATCCAGTTGGTACCGCGTTTGTTTCGACCAAGTCGATTGCTTTCCTGTAGTCGACAAACGCCATACATAAGGGAATCCGATACTTTCCACATTTTTCGAGAAGCTGACGTAGAACCAGAAGTAGGTCAAGTGTGGGGCACCCACTTCTAAATCCTGCTTGCTTTCGGCTCATGGCCATGTCCAGGTCTCCGACTATGCGACTCAGGATTATTCTGGTTAAGGTCTATAGACTTGAGACAGCAATGTGATGGGTCTGTAATTGGCACAATGTGCGATATAAAAAAATCGCTACCGGCTTGAGGTGGAATAAGCAGAGGAGTGTCTTCACTCGGGTCAAAAAGGTGAGCATCAACATTTTCAAACAATAGTGGACAGACAAATTGAATCTGGAATGTTTGATTCGCATAGTCCCTTATACAAAAGTACAAACGACGCCCTTCCCGTAAGACTGAGTGGAAGTCCCGCTTGAGAAAAAATATTCTGTAGAAGTTGCGTTATTTACAAACGTATGAGACACACGGATCTAACTTTTTTGCGAATCGGTGTGGGTGAGTGGAAAGGGTCACAGATAAAAGGATAAAGTCTTGGGGCGTTCATCAATCTGTTGATCAATGGGATGCGCCTACGCATTCGACTTCCATTCGGGATCGTAATGGCGTATTGTATGCATATGTGGCCACATACATTAACTTGAGGTGGTCAGCTGATGTACAAGTCAGCGCCGTTATTCTCCCATACCAGTCTGGAACCAATTAAACAACCGCAGAGGGATGGAAGGCTCTGTGGTCCTAGGTGGATATGGATGGAAAAGGCAACTAAAAAATATTATATTTTGTTGTGTTCTCGCTCTTACAAACGCCTTCCTCAGTGACATGTGTGCAATTAAATAGCTTTAAGAATCAGGAAGTTTCGAAGGATCCAGCAGTCTTCGCATTGTGCATTGAACTGGGATTGGTCTGTAGTGTCGGATGTTCCTTGGCAGCTATCAATCACTCTTCGACCGAAAGCAGGCAGGATAAGAACAATTTTGGCCGTCAGCCTTGCCTTTTCATCCATCTGCAAACACTCATTCTCTTACTGCTAGTGTCTGTTGCGTTTTTTTTTATCCATCAGATTACTTCGGACCACCAGTTATTGAGCAGTTTTTTTTGTTATGGCTCTTCGACTAAATTGTAAACTTTATCAAATATTTTGGGCTTTCTAAAAAACAGTAGCCATGCTGACGATAATGGCCGCGGTCCGGTAAAACTATCATCAATAAGTTTAATAATATGAGAGGACCTAGACCTCTTTGGGAAGCTCTGCGATCCCAAGTACAGAGAGCTACCAAAAGCTCGAACGACCAGTTCTCGTCCAGTTATTCCAATTCACCTGTTTCTTGGCATTTCTCAGGCCTTTTATGACCCGATTTTGATGGGCTGCTACCGTAGTGCCCCCAAGTGAAAAACAAGGGATCATCAGGAAAGATTCCATCCTGCTGGAACAGCATTGGAACTGAAAATTAGGATGAATCACACTCTAATTCAACAATTCAAAGTAGACTTCTACAGCATCTTGCATGCAGACTCAGAACGAGCCAATTCAGATCATCTCGTCTCGACCCTCCTTCTGTGGAACCCGTTTTATTTTCAAGGGTCTTCGAAGCAGTGTAGTTGTGACTGGGTTGTCCTGATAAAGGCGTAATAGCGGCGAATTGCTGAGAAGCAGATAGAACTTTGTTAGAGATAAAACAAAAACTGGGACCAGAACCGCGCTGCACGTGACTGACTATCTTTTTATCTATTTTCCAGACTAAAGTTCGGTCCGGAAGGCTTAGAACCTTTTGCTTGTTCTGCAAATACGTAATCGTATAGTGTGCGTTGATAAGGGATCTGACTAATGTATGCATTGCTTATCAAAAGCGCCTTTTTTCGTTGTAGCTGCTGAGGGACCCCTATTCCCAGTGGGCAGGGAATGCTTCGCAAAAAGTCAGACGCAGACAGACCACAAATAGAAGGAATTTTTTTAAAAAATCAGAAAAAGTCCTTCTTGAACATTTTTTTTTTCAAATGATCCGCGCTCATTTCACATGAAATGGGGATGTTTCTAAAAGAAGATTATGTACAACTAAATGTACGTGTATCCTGTTTCGTCCTTGTGTCTGATTGATAGGAGACTCAAGTTCGGGTGTGGTGCGTTAGGAACGAAATGGTCGCGTCGCGGTGAGAGGGGCGTCGCGCGCGAAGCAATGTAGCAGTATGCAGCAGTAGGTAAGAAATACCCGAACAAAAGTAGTAATAGTAGAATTATGCATAAAATAAAGATCGCATATCGATTGAGCTGTATGAAGAACGCTAGAGCTGTAATAACGGCGAATGAGTGGTCCGCGACAGCCGCGTGCGGCAAATCGATTACCCAAAATTTTCTTTTTTTCCTAACGCCCGTCTCCCCTCAAGTTCTCTTCACACTCGCTTTG